AATAATACCGAAAAGAAAAGAATAAGCGATTTTATCTTCAATAAATCCTCAAAAAGTAAAACAATGTACGATAAATTTGAAACTATTCGTCTATGTTTTACTTCAAGAAGCATCACGTAAGTAAACAGAAACTTGTAACTTACCCATCAGAAGCAGGTTGGAGATTACCAGGATTCACGGAGAATGTCTGTACACTATTCATAAAGAGAGGAGTTAAAGCTAAACCTGAAACCACTATCCCTTGTCACGAGGCCTTTGTTATTGGGAAACCACTGTGAAAAGATTTGGTAATTTATTTCGTGACGTAGCTTTTTAAATACAAAAACTAAATGTTATATCAATTTACAAGTTTGGACGTATATTACATGAACTGTATAGCATGTGTTTATTAGTGGCAAAGATCGGTATTTGTATCAGCAAATACATTGAGTATATTATAGATGTACACGAAAGCTTAGAAGAAAATATAAATCGTCTACACATTAGTGACACCTGTACCTCACATACCTAATCAGTAAATTTGATAAGTACTTAGTGTAGTTTTTCCTCACTGAAATAAAAGAATACACAAAGTAACATAAACATAATAATATGTACAGATAGTAAAAATCTATCTTTGGGTTAAACATTATAAAAATTTTTATCCTTTGTTACAGGTTTCTTGTCTTTTTACACTTGAATTATAATATATATATATGTATAAATGTTTAGTTAACGATTCTTGTCTTGCTGGGAATAAACACAGTATTGCTGTTCACTCTGATGACGACACCTTATGGTGGAGAAATGATGTACATGATCTGGATTTGTTGCATTTCCTCTTACTTTTTTCTTATTCCGACTGCTGTTGCTGAAATTTTCAGAATGTTACTTTTTTACATCAGTAAATGTAGAGCTACAAATAAGTTGAGAAAAACATCATAATATCAATGTTTTTGTGATTGACTCGTAATTCAGCAGATATTCAAGTAAATATTTCGGTAGAGAAATGATTCATCTATATAGATAAGTTTGTTTAAATACCAATCCTCGCAGCGGAGGTGTACTTACAGTAAACAATTTTATCTTCTAGATTTGAAAATATCGGAAATCAAGTTTTTTATTCCAGACAGCTTGTTTCTTTCTCTGGCCTTTAGTCCTCCATCGTATTACTTCTTCTTTAGATGGTTTGCTACGTTTTTTGTAACAGCGACTGTTTCATTCATAGGTAAGATAAGTCAGAATCAAATGTTGTTATTCAAGGAAAAAAGTGTGTTTGCTTTTACTGTATTTCAACATTTCGGTTCCTTGTATTTTTTATGATTTGTTTCACTAGTACATTTCAATGTCTGTAACAATAAAACAACTCCTTATTTCCAAACTTTACAGATAAAGCAGCGTAACTTAACTCATGGTTTAATATTCACTTGTAAAAATATCATACATACCTCTATTGGAAAAGAGAAAACAACCTATATTTTAGCAGATTTTATGTTGAAGTTTGAATCAAGTTTGTTATCATGAATAAAGTTAAATAAATGTCTGTCTCACGAATTGACTGAACCAACTTGTTTTTATAATGTTTAAAACTGTCGATATTTGAAACATTCAAGAGCAAGAAAAATATTTATGTTATTTGTTTCCCAGGTGGACTAATGATATTTGGTATTGACTGAAAGACGTCGTCGATAATGAATATGTTGTACATAAGTGGTTGAGATATTATTATACACTTTTCTTCTTATATAAAGCTTAATAGAGCAAAGAAGAACAAAATTAATATTAAAAATTACACTAAGCCTAATACTGTTGTCTTCTAACAAATATAATTATCAAAATTAGTTTCGGTTACTTAAGGGATTCGTAAATGGTATCAACG